GATGTACATGTAAGCGAATTTCGTCCGTCACCCTTTCTTCTATTGATTTATCATTTGTCTACTTACGTACCGCACGAGCAAGGGCAACGTCGTCGACATGTTAAGGGTGGGGCACGTTGTTTTCAAAGAGACGTTCCTTTGTGAATCGAAATAAGCTCAAGCCTGCCTGTCGTTCCGATTGTATTTGTTGTTGCTGTTGTTGTTTCTAATGCTTGAACATTAATCATCAGTACTCTCCGCCAATAACTGTAATTAGTAGCACATCGCAGGCAAATTAGCATCGCCATTTGTCATTAGGGTATACAGAATTTTCCAAGGCCCGGCTTAACTCGTCACTAAATCAAAACAGAAGCAAAAGAATTGCAGCAGTTTGACATCGGCCTACACTTCTATTTCTTATTTTGAAATGATTTTTATTTTTTCGACATCGTTTTTTTTTATTCTTTATTTATTTCCCATTCTCTCTGATTCGCTTACGTGTTTGTTCACGAAACCACGCACTCTTTCCTCACCGAACGCTCTCATAGAGGTTGCCTCATTAACGCTTTTGAACACAAACATACAAAAGAGAGAAAGAGAAGGAAAGAATCATTTTGGCACGGAACGAGAAAAGGAAAAGGAGACGACACAAGTAAGCAGTGCAAGTAATAAAAGTGATTTGTGCATTTTGGTCAAATGGCAATTTAAGATCGGAAAGAAAAGAATCATGAAAAGAGTGAAAAAGAAAGACTAAACAAGAACTGAAAGAAAAATAATCCGATCGTGTAGTAGATGAGGGTCAGGGATCTGAGGAGTGAATTTTTGGAAGAGGATGGGATGTAAATTGGCTTTTCTATCATTGCACGGTTTTTCTTGGTTCATCTCAGACAAGCACCAAATCTTCGGTTGAGGAAGACGCATAGAAACTTTGGCCTGGCAAAGCCTATTTAAAAAGACGACAGATGTACAACAAATATAGTCAACTTTTGTCTTTCGCTTAGGTTTTTGAATTTAAAGCCAAATAATATAAAAAGTGTTGGGCATAAACCTAATTTCATCACAAATATATTGAATACATGGCAACACGTTGGACAGTTCAAGTTTGAACCGAATGGACGAAACTGTGACGGATTTTATTCAACAACAATAATTGATTAACAAAAATATGCAACATGAGACGTCCAATTTTATTTATATTTAAAATTTGATTATAAGATGCTAAACAACAAAACGAAACAAACCAATAGAGATCGTACGAGTCTAATGTACTCCAGCTTTGTATTTGCATGCCAGCAGGATTAAACAGGACTTTATACTATTTTTGGATTATAAATCGTACAAGCATGGATTATTGTATATGACTTCCGCTCTGGAATATTGATAATCATTCCTGATTATTTTGGATTTAAGAGTGCGAGTCAAAATACAACTTGATCGATCGGAAAAAAAGGAGAAATTAATTTCCTAGATGCTCTAAAGCACATTGACGGATTATCTACTGCTACGAATAAGAGAAATGTATCTAATGTGTGATTTCATTCCCTACAGCGTATACATCATCAATCGAAGCAGTTCCCTGTGTATTCTGTGAATATACAAAGGCACATCTTATAAACAAGATAAACAAAAAAATAATACTTGATGTTCCGAAAGTTCATTTGTCGATAAAACAAATTCAATGGATAGAAGATTAGCCGCTATCAAATCTAGCGAATTATTCTGAATTCGAAAGAAAGCAAACGATTATATGACAAGGAATTTGTCTGGCTTTCGATTTGCCATATTTGCCTTTCATAAGTAAAGATTATGGAGGGAAAAATTCCAAAATAACCTTCAGTAACAAGTCTAAGCAATTTGTAAATTTTGCCTAAATGCCTAGTTTTCTTGGCCTCTTTCCTGATTACAATATCACTGCAGATGTTGAGCGGATGCTTTCAAATGTAAGGCTGAAGAATATATTAGTCAAAAATATGTGGATATCTGATCAAGAATGCAAAACATGAATTCAGTTTCCTGAACAAAATTTTGGAATGTAAACATTAAAAAGAAAACATATCTACGTTACGCGATCATTTGCAAATAAGTGTAAAAAAAAATAAAGCCAGTTGGACATCGAACTACTTTCCTTCATCATTTCATTGGCTACTCGAACTAATTTTATTTTACAATGAAGTCACAACGTGGATATATTCTGAAGTCAGTTTTTCTGTACATTTTATTAATGTACCACATATCTGAAACGTGTTATTGTTACCTTAAAAGCAAAACCCAGTCTTGAATCTATTTAAGAAAAAACAAAGCAAACGAATATCTCGGATTTCAACACGGATAAATTTCTATTACTTCAATAAAAAATATAGAGAACCAAAATGAAATACAACTGATACATCAAAAGTGATCTCAATTCTAAATCCGTTTTGTTTCATACCTTTAGGTATATCATCAAATAACAGGATCTTGCGATGTACAAAATGCCAAGAAAACACTAATCTCATCATTGCTATGAAGCTGGCAAAAGGACCTGAAAAGAAATGAAACAAAGAACAAAATATTTACACAATCCTTGATTAATAGTGCTGATGAAGATATATTATACATCTGCAGTTACCTCTCTTAACTTTGCACAAGCTCTGAGATTTTTTATTTAATTTAGAAGACTTTATATTATATCATCTACAGCTTTATGCACTTATTTTAAAAGACTTTGTATTATATAATATAAAGTCTTCCAAATTAGCGCAAAAAAGATAAGTTATGTAACTGCAAATGTGTAATATAACTTTATTGGAACTATTAATTAAAGATACATTGTGCGAATTTCTGCAGAAAAAACTGAAACTAAATTTCTCCAAATGATTTTTAATTTTTGGTTTTCCTTCCCGAGTTGAGAAAAGGATTCATTAACAATAAATAAAAATAAAAGTGGAGAATATAGTAATCGTAGCTATCACTCAAAAACTAACAGAGAAAAAAGGCATTGCTCTCCTGAAGATCAGGTACAGGAAGTATCATTCCGGAAGTTATATTTTACTGCAGCAGACGACATACAACCTTTCAGAATCATTATATGACAATGCTATTTTATGTTCGTTTTACAAAAGCAGTTGATTTTTATTTTGCATAGTCAACTTAATGAAACCAGGATTAGGATCGTAATAATTACTTACCTGGATATATTGTGCAATGAAAATAATACTTTTTGGTCTAACAGGATGGATTATACAGAGGATGGTAGGTTTCACTCAATAATATCATTTTCTGTTGAAATAAATCGTTTATTATGCATTTAATATTACTTTTTTACTATCTATAAATATTATAAAGATTTATGTATTGACATACATATACATTATACACACATATGTAAGAAACACCTCTCTGTTGGTGTTTATGTATGTATGTGTTTGTGTGTGTGTGCATCCATCTAGGCAAATGACTTTCGATGATTCAAATTTCATATTGATGTCCACAACATTAATGTTCGTAAGCAAGAACAAAATATAATTCACTGTTTTCAGTGAATTATTTTTTATTCTTGTTGACGTACACGAGAAAACATGCTTGCATCCAATGAATGTAGATATTGTTCATAATTCTGTCTCTTATCATGCCCAAGAAACGCTATTTTATTAATATTGTATAATTTTGTAAATACGTTCGATTTATAGTATTTGGGATTTGTTTATTATGATGAGACAAGGGATTAAGTGGAAGCGACGATAATAAGTAGATATAGATGAATATATCTGTCTTTTGTTAAAACATTAAAAAAAACAAATTCCAATGATTGAAGTATTTTCGAAAAGATGAGTAATGTAATGAATTGACAATATTAAAATTCAGTGGTTTCATATATGCGTTTTCTTGTACAGAAAACACAAACATCATCTAAACTGTTCATATCTATCTAATCCATATATATATATATATATATATATATATATATATATATATATATATATATATATATATATATATACACACACACACACATATATATATATATATATATATATATACACAGATAGAAAGAGGAAGTAGTAATAGGAATCAACACTGCATCATTATCTGTTAGTTTCAAGCTATTTACAATTTTCTCTCTCTATATATATATATATACTATCATCGACGGCGTGAACTATTCCCCAATATAGTACATTTTATATATATGTATATATATATGTGTGTGTGTGTGTGTGTGTGTGTGTGTGTGTGTGTGTGTGTGTGTGTGTGTGTGTGTGAACATTGAAGTCAACACTCACAGGTGACAGGCTGTTTCATGCTGGACGCAATCGTCAGGCCGTGAATTGCGTCCAGCATGATTGAACAGCATGTCACATATGAGTGTTGAATTCAATGTTCACTTTTATATTTATATTTACATACGCTCTATCTCTGATATTGAGCACTTTATCCCATAAATATAGCACACTTTAAAACTATATTTCTTCACACACACACACACACTTACACACACACACACACACATATATATATATATATATATATATATATATATATATATATATATATATATATATACACTAAAAATGCATTCCAAATGCATTATTACCCTGTTGATGATCACTTTATTATTTTAAAATATATTTGTGAAAATAAGGAAAATGTTGCTTTTCAGTAATTCTATCTTTCTGCACTTTTAATAAGAAAGAAAGAATTTTCACCACGCTTTTCATATCTCTGTTGATTTCGAGTCTTTTTCCCCACCCTCTTTCTTCACCTCTTATTCTTTTTATTATTCTCATAATTATTTTATGTGGGAATTCACACTTGACCTTATCGAGTAGTGAGGTCACTTTTAGTGTCACTCATACGATCACCTTTTGCATATGAGTTGTTATTTAACTCATCTTATTATCATATATGTCTATATAGGTGAAAATAAGTAGAATGTTTTGCTCAAATATTCCAAGTCAACAATTCATGCCTGTTTTATAAATCAATAAGTTCATTCGACCAGCACAACGAATAACATTCCTACTACCAATGACAACGATTCACTATTAATTCCCATTTAAGTGTCTTTCATCAGGACGCAAACGATAAATTGACTGATTTCTTTTCGTATTACTCCACTCTTTGATTATTTTTTTTTCTCTCATGAATTTAATTTTCACAAATTAGTTTGCGAAATCACGAGGTTCATTTTTGTAATCCTCTTCGCATTATTAATATAATTTTAAAATCCACTTTTACGTCGTTTTCGTGAATTTTCTCATAAGGATCTGATGTCTCTTAATTAGGAAAAAGTAACAGCAAGTCTCCTGTAGAATACCCTTTAATCTTCTTACGCAAATGAATAATGCTGTTGCTTAAATAGTTTTACTTATTAAGATTTCTGATTCTTTTTGAGTAAATCAATTTAGGATTGTGCCAAAAATTTCAGTACTAATACTTGCAAATCTCAACTAAATATACTTTATACGATTTTTATAATTTCTTTTGACAAAGGTTTATTCTATATTCAGTCATCCTTATGCTTGAACTTCACTGATATGTCTACTATGGTATATTTTGTTTGTAAGGTGTTGTCTTTGTTTGCAAGAATGAAATCTGCTCCCAAATCTGAACTCCAAAATTGTAATGAACTTTATGATGTATGTGTTAACGTACCAAATGCCCTCTTTTTTGAAGGCTAAATAAAAAGCTATAATATTTTTTTTTAATAAATAAGTCCCTGTTGTCATTTTCACAAAACTAATATAGTTACATTGCTCAACTAGGATTCTGGTTTGTGTTTACTCTAATGACTTCCATAATTGAGTCATCGTCATTTGCACAGTCCTTGGTGAATTTCTGTATAGCGATACTTAATTTTACCTATGTGATGTTCATGTCTCATTATATGAAACATTTGCTGACATCTTTTCTTGTCTATTCTTGATTTTCCGTTCTTTTGTTCTTATAGACATGTTTGTTTTTGTTTGTAATTTATTTTCCTTTTTTGAATGTCATCATTAGAATCGTGTCCAATGTTTGTAACATGGTTTCTCCATTGAGATTTTTTTCCTTTAGATTTCGGCTTAATTTATAAATTCGATTGATTCTACATATTTTTTGTTAGTTTTGTGACACTTTGTGCCTATGGTGAATATTCTCTCTTCATTGTGTTATGTTTGTCGATTAGTCATTGAAATTCTAATTGGCACAGAATGCTGAAGTATCCTTTTCCTTTTCTCTTCATATAGTCTTTATAGAAATCCATTATTGGACCTGATGCTTTCAAACTGGCTTTTAATATTCTATATCGTTAAACTTTAACACACACACACACACACACACACACACTCACACACACACACATATATATATATATATGAAGAAATTTTGAAAAAACAAACAAAAATCCTTAAATGTAGTTAAATGAAAGAAATGTCGACGTCTGACGTTTCGGTTTATTAAACCTTTTTCAAGACAATATTCATCAAAATACAATTCAGTTCAATATGACAAATACGATGGACATTCTTATTCAAACAGATAACTGAAAATTTTAAAATGATCAGCCTTCCGTCTAAATGGTCACGCTGTCGTCACATGGGCGAAAACATGTTCCTAAAAGTTTGTGATTAAAAAAAAAAATGAAATGTCGACGTCTTTTCGGCATCAATCTCGACGAAACCAGGTCTAAAATATTCACCGTGCGTGAATGGATATTATACCTTTTAAATCCTCCTGAGAAAACTTTTAGGAATATGCTTTAGTTGTGTGTAAACTAAAAGCATTATTAAAATTACATGTGACGACATTTTACCAAAACACGAGTTTTAAGGACCTACCTGTTTTAAATTTTAGGTCACAATTTTTGTTATGAATGCAAGCATCTTGTAGTCCTTTAATATGTCCATTTAGATTATAAGAGAGATCGTCATTTATTTGGTAAAAAGATGCGACCAAACGAAATATTATCAGAACTGAATTGTATTTTGATGAATATTTTGTGATGGTGAATTTTCTTTTATTTTTAGAAAATTGTCTCGGATACGGTTTAAAAGGTAAACCATCATTTAAATATTTTGATGAACGTCGAATCAATAACAATTTTATTTAGTATCATGGTGACATTTTACATGTGGGTTTACGATATACTTTGTTTGTCTTTCAAAATAATTCTTCAAGTTCATAGTTCAATAGGATTCTATTTAATCTATCAGTAATCATTTTAAATCATGCTGGGTAGATAAATAAAATTCATATATATATATATATATCATATATCAGATTAAGAAAATTCTAGAAATATGATTTAGGAATCCAGAGAGGACTCCCCATCAGTAAACCAAATTTTTGTTTATAATAAATATTATATAAACAAAATTTGTTCTCACCATTTCATTTCAAAATAATCAGTTAAATACGTTATGTGTAACGAAAAATCATTTTAAAATTTTCAGTTATCTGTTATTTTGTGTTTTTAAATCAATTTGTCAATTTTTTGATGAATTGTCTTGAACAAGGTTTAATAAACCGAAACGTCAGACGTTTAACTACATTTAAGGA